ATACAGTGAGTTTTTCTTTCGCTCCGTCCGAGGAGGGAGAGAAGGGCAACTAGAGTTAGCGCGTGGAGTAGTGCTGACAAACTTGTATGATAGCGCCTGGCCTTTGTCACTAACGGTATCGCGTTAAGGATGCTCGAGAACAGTGCTGGGTCTGAGGGACAGGCGGGGTCTTTTGACGAGGTGACCGTGAGTCGATTTGGTACCATTATTTGTGAAAGCGGCCTTGACAGATCTTGCTGCCCCGTCTCCCAAATATAGCATATCGTTGTAGATGAGGTTCACGAGCGGTCGATCGATTGTAAGTCTTGTAGTCAGAGGTATGCTGTATCCACACTAACCCTCCGTCTTGGCCGCAATTTAGCCGACTTTCTGATGATCGTGCTCAAATCCCTCATGCAGGAACGAAAGGATCTGAAGTGAGTCTTCGTCCGTCTGAAACCTTGGAGCCTGAACGCTTATTATGTTCCTTGTAGGATCATCCTCATGTCAGCGACAATGAACAGCGAAAAGATCTGCGCGTACTTTGATAATTGTCCGTTTTTCAAGGTTCCAGGACGAACCTTCCCCGTTCAAGTTAATTTTTTGGAGGACGCCATCGAACTTACGCAGTACTTTATCGCCGAAAGTTCGCCTTACGCTGTTCGCCGTAAGTAATGGCGTCGCGAGTCCCGGAATTCCTGATTCTCACTTGATTCCCGCTCCAGATGGACGAAACAGAAAGCAAATCGAATGGAGTGAGGAAATGGCCAACAACGACGAAGACGATGACGGTGATTTGGATCAACCTTCGGACCCGATGAAGCTCTCCTCATCCGCGTACAGCCAAGAGACTGTACGAACAGTAAACTTGTTGGATCCTAAACAGATACCTTATGGCTTGATCATAAGACTGCTGGAGCACCTTTGCTTGGAAACAAATTCTCAATACTCTCAGGCGATACTTATCTTCCTACCCGGTATCAACGAAATTCGCAAACTTCACGACCTGTTGGTTGATCACAACCACCTGGGAAATGCTCGATACTACAAAATCTACCCATTGCATTCGACTATCTCGTCGGAGAATCAAGGCGCCGTGTTTGAGATCCCACCAGAAGGCGTGCGCAAGATCGTGCTTTCCACCAACATCGCAGAGACTGGCGTCACTATCCCAGATATCACATGCGTCATCGACAGTGGCAAGCATCGAGAGATGAGGTGAGTGTCTTTTTGGGTACTTGAGGGCAAACAGTCCGCTAACTTTTCGGAAACCAGATATGATGAAAAAAGATCCATTTCGCGGTTGACGGAAACTTATATAGCCCGCTCAAACGCTGCACAGCGGAGGGGCCGAGCTGGACGAGTCCAAGAGGGTCTCGCCTTCCATCTGTTCACCCGTGCGAGGCACGATACCCAGGTCAGTTTGCCGTTCAGTTGCCGGATTTTTCCCCTTTTGACTCAAAGTATATCTATTCACTTTCAATAGCTCGCGGATCATCCGGAACCTGAAATCCTCCGGCTGTCACTCCAAGATCTTGCATTGCGCATCAAAATTCTAAAGGTCAAAGTCGGCTCCAGTATCGCCGATGGTTTGTCGAAAGCCTTGGATCCTCCATCACCCATCAACGTGGCACGTGCCGTCTCTTCGCTCGTGGAGGTGAAGGCATTGACTGCTGCTGAGGAAATCACCCCTATGGGTTTGCTGCTTAGTCGCTTGCCGGTCGATGTGCATCTAGGTAAGCCGTGTTACCATCTTTGCGAATCTCAATTCCAACGCTAAACTGTTTTCTCTTCAGGCAAATTTCTACTGCTTGCGGCGTTGTTCAAGTGTTTGGATCCCGCACTTACCATCGCAGCTACCTTGAACTCGAAATCTCCTTTCGTTGCGCCTTTCGGCCGAGAACAGGAAGCGGATACAATCAAGCAGTCGTTCAAGAAAGGTTGGTCCTGTCATGACAAACACGATGATTCGTCCGCTTATATCCCATCATGTTCAATAGGCAATAGTGATTTCTTGACGATAGCAAACGTTTTCACCATCTGGCGTAGAATGAGCGACAACCCGAACTCAGCAAGGGTCTTTTGTCGCAGAAATTTCCTTTCGCAGCAGGTATGGGCATTGACGGTAGCTGATTACTATGCCTATACTCATGGGTACCTGTCCTTCTCACCGCAGACTCTACAGCAAATTGAAGAACTGCGACAACAGTTGTATTCTTATTTGGTGGACACGAATTTTGTGCGTATCACTCCCGCTGAGAAGGAAGCGATAGCAAGGTAAGCAACTCTGCCGAATCATAACGTTGTGTTCTCGTATATGTGATCTCATGCGGTGCCTTCTGTCACAGAGCACGTTATCGAAAAGGATTCCGCACATCATTTGTCACGATTCCCAACGAGCTGAACGAGAACGCGGAGGATGAAAACATGCTCAACGCGGCTTTGGTGGCTGGGTTATACCCCAAAATTCTAATAGTGGAGGGAGGAAATGGATTGAAGACGTTGGGGAATAATCAGTCCATCAGCATTGTAAGCTATCGCGGCTGTGGTTGCTGATGTCCGCGACTGATACCCCATTTGCGAACTTTCTTCCAGCATCCCAGCTCGATCAACTTCCGTAGCAGAGTAGCAGACTTTGGTGTAAATCACATGGTATACTATACTATCATGCAGTCGAAGAAGGTATGTCCGCCATGTTTTGTAACTGCTGGTGTGATACTCAACCTTTCTCTGTTTAGTTATACGCATGGGAGACGAGTCCCGTTGACGATATAGCATTATTCTTATTGTGTGGGGAAATCCTAGATATCAAAGTAAGTCTCCTTGCTATGTATGCCATCTCCTGCGTGGCGTGACCGCTGACGCGTCTTTGGAGCGTAGACCTGGGCATCGTCGGTCGTACTCGACAGAAAAATCAAGTTTAATATGCCTCCCATCACTATACTGGCATTGCAGCGTCTCAGGACGGAATTCGCCAACTGCTTGTCCCAGCGCATGGCAAGTATCCCACTTGATTCCGAGCAAGAGAAGTGGTTTGAATTGGGTTTAAAGTGCATTATGAAGACTGTGGAGGAAGAACAGGAGGATGCGTATAAACTCCGCATCTCTGGAACCAATAGATAGATGGATTGATTTGATAAACACATAGATTGCGAGTCTGCATTTTTGGTAACGGCATCTATCATCCCAACCTGTATCTGCACTGCAAAACTTCGTATCTCCAGTATGGATCAATTGCATGCGTCCATTTGACTCAAAGCGTGATATGCTTTATGATGGGATGCAGGGGATGGGCTGGAGATGTCGAGATTAGCGAGTTTTGCATTCACGAATTTACGCGTACTCCTGCTCGCGAACTGCTGCTCGCGAGCACAAGAGACAATAGAGGACATTCGCGACGAGGGGGAGAAGACCAGATCAAGCAATGAAGCGTTAACAGGCATCAGTTGTCGCATATATCTAACACGCGAGACGAGCTTATTGGATGAGTGCCGTATCGAACTGAGTGAATGGCCACGAACGAGCGAGATTGAAGTTTGACGGCAGTATTATTCGATCGCTATTGATACACATGAGACTTCCACTGATGTTTTACAAGAAGAAGGCAGCGGCAACACTGGAGACGAGAGTGGCACACAAGACGGCGTACCCGGTCGAGTAGACACCCTTGAGAGATAGAGCTGTACGCGACAAGAGAAGAAAGTTAGCGAAAAGATACGAGGTCTGTGGTTTGATGTCGAGGGGTGGCGTACCTTTGCCCATGTCCCATGTCAAGTGTCGGATACCGTTGAACGAGTGGAAGAAGAATGGTAGAGAGATGATGAATTTACCAGAAGTCTTCAACCAGACGGGGAGATCTGTGAATGAAGGAGAACGAAGAGGATGAGCTCTTTCTTCTGAGGACGGGATGGGACGGCTGTGATTTACCGTGGATTGCGGAAATGACGTGAGCGGAATCGATGGCGGGGAAGACGGGGTGCAGCAGGTAGGCCATGGCGCTGACATAGAGGACTGGAGGAAGAAGATTCGTTGGTTATCTAACGAGTGGTATTACAGGATGTCGACGTAACACTACTTACGACCGCTCAAAGCAGAACCGGTAATTCGGTTGAGACCGGACAAGTACCAAGTCAACTGAAGAACAGATCATTGCCATCAGCAACCAGTCCTTCCGTTCTAATTGCTTTAAATCTAGTTACCTGAGGCTGGTAAATGGTCAAATGAGGACTGTTGGGCCTCCTGAGTCGCTGTTCATTGAGGAGCACCAAGTTGTCCTTCGTCGTTAGGTGTTCCGTTTGGATGAATCTGAAGCAAGCGAGGCAAGGTCAGTATGATCTCCTAGAAAAAGGGCGAGTGGAGCGTACCGTCGCTGGACTTGAGTGAAGAGAGGAGCAGCCGATGATCGGAATGCAGGAGCTAGCAGGCAAGCAGCCACGATTTCAAGGTTTAGTTAAGGATGTTCGCGGTCAATGTTCACATCTGCACTTACCAGCACCGGCAACTCGGAAGAGGTTCCTGGAAGTAACAGTGGCCAACATGGTAATAGAGTCTCGGTATAGGATGTCAAATCGTCGGATCACTGTCGCTGCCGCTACCTATAGTTTTGTTCAAGTTGATGTACGATGACAAGATACCGCACGCTCGACCCTCTGTCTTCCTCAACTTCGATCGTCTAGGTCGGCCGTATTCGGTTTCGTTCACAGTCCGGTAACACGGGCGCACCTCTTGTCACGGAGGCGTCGATTCCGCCAATCAGGTTATTTTGGTTTGGCTTTCAGGACGGGTGGCCGGTGGCCCTCGCTACTAGTCGCTGGTGCCCGCCTGCGAGATAGCTTGAATATAGCATATACATATACGAGAGAGAGGGGTGATACTGGATCGACCACAACGTGTTTTAGTCGGGAGCAAGCTTGTGAAGCGACAAAGGTTACAAAGCTGGTCACAAAAGAGCGCTGGGCCTTTCAAAAGAAGCAAATACAATTCAGGTATGACTTTTATGCTGTGGGGTCATCTTCATACCAGATCCTATAGTAAAGTGGTAAATACGTGGCATTGTGGTCTTCTGAGTTTACTCAGGTACAATTCTGCCGAGGCGAGTGTTCGATTCACTCTAGGGTCATTTTTTTCCCTGGGAAAGCTTTTTGGCCTTCCAGCTGGCTTTCCTTACGTAATATGTGAGCGGGGAAACTTCTAGAAGCGGGGCTACTGCTAGAACTAGCAACCACCAACAGCCAGCAGCTCTCTTGGTCTCGTCATCCTTTGTGAACCAAGTAGCAGGTCAAGAAGCTTGTAGCAACGTCAGTTCATCTATCTAGTTTAGCATTTCAGCATTCCCGGTTTCACCGTTGCACCACTCACCGCATCTTCCACCCCAATCACTCACTCAAACCACCCCATCATGGCCAACCCACGAGTCTTTTTCGATATCACTATCGACAACCAACCCAAAGGCAGGATCTCGTTCGAGCTGTTCAACGATGTCGTCCCCAAGACCGCGGACAACTTCTTGCACCTCTGTTTAGGGGACAAGGGGAAGACTAGCTCGGATGTGCCATTGTCGTACAAGGGGTCCGGTGAGTGCTGGTTCCTGGTTGACGTTTGACTCCTGGGAGCGAACGGTTACTGATCAGTGCTGCGTTTATAGGCTTCCATCGATGCATCAAAAAGTAAGTTAGGTGCTCGTGAATGACATTCATAATGGTGTTGAGTGAAAGTCCTTCATCGCGTCAATCAGGTTTATGCTTCAGGTATGTCCACCTTTCCGTATGCATTCTCACAGGAAAAGGGCTGATCTGGTTGTCTCTCTAGGGTGGTGACTTTACGGCGTAAGTATCCAGCATATCTCAAGCCCATCGTTAACACTAAGAGGATATGGCGTAAACAGCGGCAACGGAACTGGTGGTGAAAGTATCTATGGAGAAAAGTTTGAAGGTGAGTTATTGAGCCTCTGAGACTAGCTGCAGAAAGACTGTTCGCTAATGTTCGTGATTGATTCCTTACAGACGAGAACTTTACCCTGAAGCACGACAAGCCATTCTTGTTGTCAATGGCCAACGCAGGTTTGTTGTCAATCTTCGCGGCCAGCTTTCGAGTCATTGAGTTATATCGACGCTTTCTCAGGTCCTGGAACGAACGGCTCGCAGTTCTTCATCACTACTGTCCCTACCCCTCACTTGGACGGCAAACACGTCGTCTTCGGTCGAGTGATCGGCGGCAAGAGTCTTGTTCGGTTCATTGAAAACGTGCCGACGGACGCATCGGACAAGCCGTTGCAACCCGTCATCATTGCCGATTGTGGTCAGTTGGCGGAAGGTGAGGAGATTCAACGGGATAACAAGGTGGAAGGCGATGTGTATGAGGATTATCCAGAGGATCAGGACGGGCTAGATGAGAGTGATTTGGCGCAGTACATTGCCATCGCGGACAAGCTGAAGGATATTGGGTCGCGGTAAGTGGCTTAGTTGGTCGCATTTGCGTGTGTTTGTCGCTGATTACCTTGTCGTTATAGAGAATTCAAGGCGGGTCATATAGAAAACGCGTACGAAATGTTCTCCAAGGGTTTACGGTACTTGGATGAGCATCCCGTTGTTCCGGAAGATCAGCCCGTAGAGCTGAAGAATACGTTCGAGTCCTTGCAAGTATCATTTTTCGGAGACATGTGTACCAGCTGCTAATTTATTCCTTGTGACTAACGTATCATACAGCCGATACTCGCTACTCAGCAACAAGGCTTTGGCAGCGCTTAAACTCGGCACGAAAACTCACGCCAAGCAGGTCATCTCATGTTGCAACCGCATCCTTAAAGGTGCCGACGAGGACTTGTTTGACTTGAAGCCAGCAGACAAGACCAAGGCCTTGTACAGGCGTGGAGTCGCCCGAGCAAACCTGGGCGAGGCGAGTGCGGCCGAGGATGACTTTAAAAAGGCGCTAGAGTTGTCGCCGAATGATGCTGCTGTCAAGAGTGAAATGGCCCGTCTAGCAAAGAAGAAGGAGGCGGAAATTGCTAGGCAGCGAGCTGCGTATAGTAAGATGTTTGGATAGATAGAGGGACATTATAGATAGGTACGGGTGTACATGCTACGTTCACATCACATCACAAACATCACATGAACATGTTTAGACGGCGTGTAAAATGGCCACGTCCGCGCGGAAGATGTCGTAAAAAAGTTGGCTGTGATGCGATCGAGGGGGGAGAGAGACATGGATGCAGGACCGGTGTCGCAACTTGTTCAATCGCACTTCATGTTCATTCGCCACGTCCCTGCTAAATACTAGACTAAAAGAGGTAGCCTCGAGTCCAACCAGTTTCCTTCTTCAACAATCCCTTATACAGTCATGTTGTCCACCAGGGTCCTTCCAGCTGCCAGGAACGCCGTCAAGACGGCGGAAGTGCTTCGAGGTGAGTCGTTGTTGGGGTAAACCGCGATTCTTCTTTGGCTGAACCCCTTCGATGGTATAGCTGCGGCTTCTGCTCTCCGAGCCTCCGCTCAGTTGAATGCTCCGGCTCAGTCTCGATCTCTGTACACCGCTCGACGACCCTCGCCTGCGGCTGCAGCTGCGTTGACCGCTTCCTGTAAGTGTGAAGATTGCAGGTCGTAGCACAACAAGAAACTGATTCTGGCAACGATGCAAATCACATCAGTCGGTAACGCATCTCGAGCTTATGCCGCTGAAGCTGGTGGCAAGTTCTCTCGAAAGAAGCCCCATTTCAAGTAAGTCGATGCGCAGTGTTTGCCCTTGTGCCGATCGATGCTGATAACTGTGACATTGTAGCATCGGAACGATTGGTGTATGTGTATTGGTGTTCATGTGTCAAGCAGCTATACTAAATTTGCGATTCCTGGTCGTGTACAGCACGTCGATCACGGAAAGACCACTCTTACCGCCGCCATCACCAAACACCTCTCCGAGCAAGGTGGAGGAAAGTTCATGGACTACTCGCAGATTGACAAGGCTCCCGAGGAGAAGGCTCGAGGTATCACCATTTCGACCGCTGTATGTTGTCAATCCTTTCTCTTCTTTTCACTTTTGTAGGCGGCTTATCGTTCTGCTTGCAGCACGTTGAATACGAGACTCCTGCTCGTCATTATGCCCACATCGACTGTAAGTAGCATTATCATTTAGAGGAGAAATATCAGGTGATTGAAATTATTTTGCTTTTCAGGTCCCGGTCACGCCGATTGTAAGCAGAAGGAACAGGCTGTATATGATTACATTACTAACGTGTAGTTTTCGATATGTCGGGATGAACAGACATCAAGGTAAGCAATTCCACCGAGAATGATCGCGCGAAGATCCATACTAACCTCCGTCTCTACAGAACATGATTACCGGTGCTGCCCAGCTTGATGGTGCCATCATCGTCGTCTCCGCCACCGACGGTCAGATGCCTCAAACCCGAGAACACTTGTTGCTCGCCAAGCAAGTCGGTATCAAGAAGCTCTTGGTCTTCATCAACAAGGTTGACCAAGTCGATGACCCCGAAATGTTGGAGCTCGTCGAGATGGAGATGCGAGACCTTTTGTCGCAGTACGGATTCGACGGAGAACAGACCCCTATTGTTATGGGTACTGCTCTTGCCGCTTTGGAGGGCCGAGACCCAGAGCGAGGATCCAAGAAGATTCAGGAATTGATGGACGCTGCCGATACTTGGTTGGACGTTCCCGCACGAGACTTGGACAAGCCGTTCTTGATGTACGTCGAGGATGTCTTCTCCATCTCTGGTCGAGGAACCGTTGTTACCGGCAAGGTTGAGCGAGGTACCATTACCAAGGGTGCCGATGTCGAGATCCTTGGTCTCGGTGCCAAGATCAAGACCACGTTGACTGGTATTGGTAAGCCGCAATGATAACGTCCTCAGCTAAGGGCAATAGTTAACATGCTATACTGCTTTCCGATAGAAATGTTCCACAAGGAATTGGAACGAGGTGAAGCTGGTGACAACATGGGTGCCTTGCTTCGAGGTATCAAGCGAGAACAGGTCCGACGAGGTCAGGTTTTGGTCGCTCCGGGGTCAATCAAGTCTGTCAAGAAGTTCAAGGCGCAGATCTACGTGAGTCCGACATGTGTATGATGCCTCGTCGATGTGGGTGGGCTAATCCCAACCCGGAGATAGGTCCTGACCAAGGATGAAGGTGGTCGATACACACCTTTCATGTCAAACTACCGACCCCAGTTGTTCATCCGAACGACTGATGTGACCGTCGCCTTGACCTTCCCTCCAGGAACTGAGGGTGCTGATGGTGAGTCACCGTTGGATTCATCCTCCCTAAAGACTGGTTGACTAACGCAACGCGCGGATTTAGAGAAACTCGTCATGCCAGGAGACAACGTTGAAATGGTTGGTGAATTAGTTCACGATATCGCTTTGGAAGCCGGATCCCGATTCACCTTGCGAGAAGGTGGCAAGACGATCGGCACCGGTATCATCTCCGAAGTTTACGAAAAGTAAACACTATCAGTCGTCTATAATAGGGCGCCTTGATTGGTTCGAGGCATATCGACCATGACCGGCAACCTCGCCGACTGCAAAACTGGCAACAGAGGGTTGTTCGAGAACATTTGCATGCTCTCCTCCTGTTGGTTGTAATAAATAGAATTCAACCGGGATCTTTCGGAGCGAGAACCGGATTGACATGTATGCCCCATTGACTTAATCCGTAATGACCTTGTACGAAAACACACCACTCTATCAATTCCACGCATACCTTGAACGTGCATCACTGGTCTGTGTGCGTCATAGTGTACAACTGAGAATGTATATACAACTGAGAAATGCATCTGACTTGGCTATCGTGTCGCTATCGTGTCATTCCATCTATTATACGAGCCTGTATGCCACCACCCGGATTTCCCGCACGGACCTGCTTTCCAATCACATGTTGAGGAAGTCTAGGTCATCGATACCTATACCAAGCCCTCCCAGCCCTGGAGCAGCGGTAGTCGTCTTGGTAACCTTTGTCGTACTGGTCTTCTTCTTTTGTTTTTCCACCTTTTGCCGAGATACGACTTCCTTGAGACTGGCTAGTTTCTTGCGATGATGCGGTGCTTGCAGACGGCGATGGAGAATGGAAGGAGTGACCGCTTGAAAGCGCTGTGATTGAGGGGCGTAGTTGGGTG